GCCCATCTAACATATAAAATACAGCCCAGGGAATGTTGCTTTTAAATTTAAAATGGCAGGCTGAGTTGACAGGCGGCCTCACCATTTAACTACATGCCGCCCAGCCACTGTACATATACAGCGGCAGGGCGGCACTCGCAGGCAAAACCACGTTTTAAGACGTGTGTTTTGTAAACAAATAGGGCGCGCGCGCGAGGAGCGCCGCCGCTCTATCTGTCCTGCGGATCACCGCCGCAAATGTCAGTCGCCGGGTCACAGCCACTCGTTAGTGGCTATGTTCCGGCGATCGATGGCAAACAGTGACAGACAGCACAGCTGAAGTAGCTGTGCTGTCTGTCACTTCCCTGTCAGCTCCTTAGCGGCTATGTTCCGGCGATCGGTGGCAAACAGTGACAGACAGCACAGCTGCAGTAGCTGTGCTGTCTGTCACTTCCCTGTCAGCTCGAGGATGAGCTGATCGAGAAAGAAGAGTTTCTCTTTCTCGATCAGCCTTGTCCCGCCCAGTACACACCCCCGCCCCCTAGTAAAACACTCCCCTCACTCCTATAACCCTTCCCTGCAAAATAAAGTTAACCCCTTCCTCCCCAGTGCCATTAGTACAGTGTCAGTTTTTTTTTTGCACTGATCACTGTATTAGTGTTTTTGGGGATGTCAGTGACCCCAAGTCAGTACCCCCCAATGTCAGAATGTCCGCCGCAGTCCCGCCATAAGTCGCTGGTCGCTGCCATAAGTCCCTGATCGCCGCCATAATTCGCTGATCGCCGCCATTATTAGTATAAACAAAAACCCTAAAAATCCCAGTATCTTTCCCGCCATTTGTAAACGCTCTAACTTTCACGTAAACCAATTAATTTACACGTATTGGGTTTTTTTTAAGCAAAGACATGTTCCAGAATGCATTTTGGCAGAAATTTATGACTAAATTTGATTTTTGCAATTTTTTTTACTGGACATGTTTTATAGCTAAAAGTCCGAAATATTGTTTTTTTTTTCCTCAAAATTGTCAGCCTTTTGTTTTATAGCGCAAAAAATAAAAACCGCACAGGCAATCAAATACCACCGAAAGAAAGCTCAATTTGTGGGGAAAAAAAGGATGTAAATTTAATTTATGTACCGTATTGCATGACCGCGCAATTGTCCGTTAAACTAGCGCAGCGCTGTATAGCAGAAAAATGGCGTAAATTGCAGTATTTATACCTTAGTTTGTAAACGCTACAACTTCCACACAAAGCAATCAATATACACTCATTGGGATTTTTTTTACCAAAAACATGGAGCAGAATACATTTTGGCCTAAATTTATAACCAACTTTGAGTTTACTATATATTTTTTATAGCTAAAAGTAAAAAAATATTGTTTTTCTTCAAAATTTTTGGCCTTTTTTTATGTTTATAGCGTGAAAAATAAAAAGCGCACAGGTGATCAAATACCACCGAAAGAAAGCTCTATTTGTGTGAAAAAGGACGTAAATTTTGTTTGGGTGCAGCATTGCATGACCGCGCAATTATCAGTTGAATTAGTGCAGCGCCGAGTAGCAAAAAGAGGCCTGGTCATTAAGGGGGGTAAATCCTCTGGAGCTCAAGTGGTTAAACTCAGCCATTCAAGTCAATAGCGCTACGATGCTTGGCTTGCGTTTGCAGCGCATTACTGTAAATAGAGATTGAAAGAAAAAAATAAATAACAGCCATTCAGAAAGCAGCAAGTTTCATACACATCTGTAATGGATGGTAGAGTTATCAGGCTGCATTCATTTATCTTTCTTGGAATAACATATTTTAATGCTGCTTTTCCTACAGGGAAATGGATGAACATGAAATATCTCACATATTGATGTATTGCTTCCATAACATAGGATTGTTCAAATCAATGTGTTATCTAGAATACCGTTTGATAAACCTGGGCTTGGCTAATACAGAAATCCTGATGAAATATGACTTCACATTTGTTTTGTATATAACATAGTGACCCGTACAAAATCTGTACCTTCCTGCCTGATAATGGAGACCACTGGGGCATGTTTATACAAAGACGGAAAGAAGAATGCGCTCCACAAATCTTACTTACTAATTACAGATCCTGTTTAATTTTCTTAGAGAATAAAAAATATACAGAGAAAATAAAATACGGTTGGTCAGGATGGGAAATGTTTCAGTTTCTTTTTTTTATTTTGTACATATGCCCAGATCAACTTAGCTTCCCTGGTTCCTCCCTCCCCCATCATCAACATGGTAATGACATTTTTTATTAAATACTTTCTTTTTTTTTTTAGTAGAGATCTTATTTTAGATCTAAGGATGTCATCACTGGGTCTCTGTGGTTCTCTATGGAATTCAGGTACATTATGGATGGTGGGAGGGGCCGGCAGAGTGCAGGACATAGCTTCCTGAAAACATCATGGCATGCCTCTGAAGAGCCTTTGTATCTGATACAAACAGTGGGTTGGCTGTCTATTGCCCAGTCAGCATTTCCGTTGTTGGCAAACAGGCCCTTCCCTACTTTGAGCCCATTGGCAGGTGGTGGTGGCCCCCTCTTGCAGTGTTTCCTGCTGCTAAGTGCTCCCTGTTCCACCATCTCTAGCCTGGTTGGCCACCACGACTCTAGTGTTCTAAACAGGAATGTGGGCTTGAATCCTGATTCTCATTGTAGTAGCCTGCCTTGACACCAGTCTCTTCCAGGATTACTGCAATGTCTTCTGCCTACTCTGACCTCGGACTGTCCCTTGATTATTTTATTTTGTTCCGCCTGCTATGACCTCGGACTGTCTCTTGATTATTTTATTGTCTTCTGCCTACTCTGACCTCGGACTGTCCCTTGATTATTTTATTTTGTTCCGCCTGCTATGACCTCGGACTGTCTCTTGATTATTTTATTGTCTTCTGCCTGCTCTGACCTCGGACTGTCTCTTGATTATTTTATTGTGTTCCACCTGCTCTGACCTCGGACTGTCTCTTGATTATTTTATTGTGTTCCGCCTGCTATGACCTCGGACTGTCTCTTGATTATTTTATTGTCTTCTGCCTGCTCTGACCTCAGACTGTCTCTTGATTATTTTATTGTGTTCCACCTGCTCTGACCTCGGACTGTCTCTTGATTATTTTATTGTCTTCTGCCTGCTCTGACCTCAAACTGTCTCTTGATCCTGAAGAAGCCACGTGATCGTGGCGCAACGCGTCGACGTATAGGGGTGACGTACTTCCGGTTCCGGGTTCGGACGCCATCTTTGGACACCTGTATACACCCATATTACATGGGAACTGCTTTACTTTGCTGAAAGGACATGTGAGTGTAATGTTCGATTTTACCGATTAAGTGCATTAAACGGTGTTGCACTATGGAGATGTGATTTTGTTTTCCATATGCGCCCTGTGTCTGTGTCCATTCTGTGAGGGGTATTGAAGTGTAACTTACTGCCTGGAGGAGGATCTTGAGCGGTGAAGGCAGTGGAGGAGAATTATATCTGGCAGAGTCCGTTTGTTGAGGGGAGCTATTGGAGTATTACTTACTGCCTGGAGGAGGATCATGGTCGGTGGAGGCAGTGGAGGAGAATAAATCTGGCAGAGATTTATTTATATATAAAAAGCTCTGTGACCCGCAAGGGTCGAATGTGGAAGGTGAGGGGGCATTTTGGCTATCATTGAGGGGAGTCACGTCAAGATTTCACGAAGAGCACTATTGCAGTATGGAGTGATATTATTTGAACACTTTTTTTTGCACAGTGTGGCATCACTATCTTATTTGATTTTTATTTAAATTGGTTTGATTAATTGTATTTGAGTATCTCTTTTTGCATAGGTTAATAATAATCGTTTATCACTACATCACTAGGGATTTAATATACAGTGATGAGGATATTGCACCAGTTACCATTGTATAATTTTTAGTCTAAGAGGTATCATTTATCACTATATCACCAGGGTATATTTACAAAGGAGGTATTGCACTAGTTTTTTGATTATTTTAGTTGAGCGCTTCACCACTATTATATTATTTTGTCTCTTGATTATCTTATTGTGTTCCACCTGACCTCAGACTGTCTCTTGATTATTTTATTGTGTTCCGCCTGCTCTGACCTCGGACTGTCTCTTGATTATTTTATTGTCTTCTGCCTGCTCTGACCTCAGACTGTCTCTTGCTTACTCTATTGTTCTGCCTTCCCTGACCTCAGATTGTTTCTTAATTACTGTATTATCTGCTCCCTGCCCTGACCTTGGGCTATATCTGAATAACACATCACCTACTACCTGCCCTGATCTCAGACTGTCTCTTCATTACTCTTACTCTACCATTCTGCCTGCCCTGACCTCAGACTGTTTCTGAATTACTCTACAATTCTGCTTGCCCTGACCTTGGACTTGATTACTCTATTGTTCTGCCCGCTTTGACCTTGGACTGTCTCTTGATTACTTCATTGTCTTCTTCCTGCCCTGACCTCAGACTGTCTCTGGATTACTCTGTTGTTCTGCCTGCCCTGACCTCGCATTGTCTCTTGATTACTGTATCATCTGCTGCCTGCCCTGACCTTGGGCTGTTTGTAAATAACACTTCACCTGCTACGTGCCCTGACCTCAGACTTGCTCTTGATTACTCTATCATTTGTTGCCTGTCCTGACCTTGGACTGTCTCTTGATTATCCTACCATTCTGCCTGCCCTGACATCAGACTGCCTCTTGATTACTTTATTGTTCTGCCTACACTGACCTTGAATTGACTCTTGATTACTTTATCGTTTACTGCCTGCCCTGAACTCCAACTGTTTCTTGATAACTCTACTGTTCTACCTGCCCTGACCTCAAACTATCTCTTGATTACTCTGTCATTCTGCCTGCCCTAACCCCAGACTATCTCTGAATTAGGTTTCACTTGCTGCCTGCCCTGATATCAGATTCTTTTTTTGAATTACACCTCTTGTCTGTCATCTGCCCTAACTACTACCAACCTCTGGACTTTGTTACGTAAAACCCACCAGCTATGGTAAAGTCCATATCAGGGGCAGACTGACCATTTGGAAACTCGGGTACCTTTTTCATAGGCTTTTTGAGTTTGGGCAAGGACACAGGGGCCCCATGATCCCCTATTGCCCAGGGGCCCCATGAGTTGTCAGTCCGCCCCTGGTCCATACTATACTCGAGGAGACCACAGGCATTCTTTTTTCTTTACCTTTGCTCAATCCCTGATGCCACCAAGCTAGAAGCCACTCCATTCTGCATGAAGTCCGGAGGCAACCAAGTACCAACAGGCCTGATCACCTTAAAGGCAAGTGAGCTGCTATAGGTAAAGTTACACTCGTCACCTATAGTTTTTGACTTCTCAGCATTACACATCTATCCTGTTCTTGGAACAATCAACATCTACAGATTTCATGGTTAAGGTGTCTTGACTACCAGTGTAGATATAAATGTGTGCAAAATTAGAATATCATGCAAAAGTTCGTTTATTTCAGTAATGCAACTTAAAAGGTGAAACTAATATATGAGATAGACTCATTACATGCAAAGCAAGATAGTTCAAGCCGTGATTTGTCATAATTGTGATGATTATGGCTTACAGCTCATGAAAACCCCAAATCCACAATCTCAGAAAATTACAATATTACATGCAATCAATAAAACAAGGATTGTACATAGAACAATATAGGACCTCTGAAAGGTATAAGCATGCATATGTACTCAGTACTTGGTTTGGGCCCCTTTTGCAGCAATTACTGCCTCAATGCGGTGTGGCATGGAAGCTATCAGCCTGTGGCACTGCTGAGGTGTTATGGAAGACCAGGATGCTTCAATAGCGGCCTTCAGCTCTTCTGCATTGTTCGGTCTCATGTCTGTCATCTTTCTCTTGGCAATGCCCCATAGATTCTCTATGGGGTTCAGGTCAGGCGAGTTTGCTGGCCAATCAAGCACAGTAATCCCATAGTCATTGAACCAGGTTTTGGTGCTTTTGGCAGTGTGGGCAGGTGCCAAGTCCTGCTGGAAAATGAAGTCAGCATCCCCATAAAGCTCATCTGCGGAAGGAAGCATGAAGTGCTCCAAAATCTCCTGGTAGACGGCTGCGTTGACCCTGGACTTAATGAAGCATAGTGGACCAACACCAGCAGATGACATGGCTCCCCAAATCAACACAGACTGTGGAAACTTCACACTGGACTTCAAGCAGCTTGCAGTGTGTGCCTCTCCATTCTTCCTCCATACTCGGGGTCCTTGTGCCTCTCCATTCTTCCTCCATACTCGGGGTCCTTGGTTTCCAAATGAGATGCCAAAGTTGCTCTTATCAGAAAAGAGGACTTTGGACCACTGAGCAACAGACCAGGTCTGTTTTTCTTTAGCCCAGGTAAGACGCTTCTGACGTTGTTTGTTGTTCAGGAGCGGCTTGACAAGAGGAATACGACATTTGAAGCCCATGTCCAGGATCCGTGTGTGTGTGGTGGCTCTTGATGTACTGACTCCAGCCTCAGTCCACTCCTTGTGAAAGTCCCCAACACTTTTGAATGGCCTTTTCCTGACAATCCTCTCCAGGCTGCGGTCATCCCTGCTGCTTGTGCACCTTTTTCTTCCACATTTTTCCCTTCCACATAACTTTCTATTAATGTGCTTTGATACAGCACTTTGGGAACATCCAACTTCTTTTGCAATTACCTTTTGAGGCTTTCCCTCCTTATGGAGGGTGTCAATGATGGTTTTCTGCATAACTGTCAGGTCAGCGGTCTTTCCCATGATTGTGATTCCTACTGAACCAGACTGAGAGACCATTTAAAGGCTCAGGAACCCTTTGCAGGTGTTATGGCTTAATTAGCTGATTAGAGTGGGACACTTTGAGCCGAGAATATTGCACCTTTTCACAATATTCTCATTTTCTGAGATTGTGGATTTGGGGTTTTCATGAGCTGTAAGCCATAATCATCACAATTATGACAAATCACGGCTTGAACTATCTTGCTTTGCATGTAATGAGTCTATCTCATATATTATTTTCACCTTTTAAGTTGCATTACTGAAATAAATGAACTTTTGCACTATATTATAATTTTTCGAGTTTCACCTGTATATTTTTAATTAGAACATACAAACCAAAAAGAAAAAGAAAGTGATACAGGTCAATAGTGCAATTTGTTGGACATGAGATGTAGTCAGACATTAGTCTATACAATTCAGTAAACGAGATAGAATGACAGACCTGTAATTTGCTAGTTATATAATTATCGATGAAATTCCAATGTTGGAGATAGAACCATGCAAGGTGAGAAGGGTCAGAGGGACAAGAACGGGAGGAAGGGGGGGGGGAGGGAAGGGAATAGTGGGAATATGGAAAAATGGGGGTAAGTATAGGAAATATCATAACGTTAAGCCCTGGATTCTTTCTTAGATACACAGAATATAACTGGATACTAACACTTATAGGTAAAGTTCATCCAGGGAAAATCCGACTGCCTCTCGGGGGATCAGGAAGGAATTTTTTTCCCAGCAGGAGCAAATTGGATCATGCTTTGCTGGGGTTTTTTTTGCCTTCCTCTGGATCAACTGTGGGTATAGGAATATAATTTTTTTTATGGTTGAACTGGATGGACTAACTATGTAACTATGCTAAACAGAGACCAACATACTGGTTAAAGAGCATAACCTCAAACTTTAACCACACATCTGGGGTGAGTGAGCCTGTTCTGACTCAACTACCAGGCCATAAACTTTGTCTCCAGTGATGTATACATCTATACCACGTGGCATTGAATTTATCTCTTGCATGGGGTCAGACAGTTCAACTCAATGAATAGACTCACATGTTGAGGAAGTCAGATGAGGAAAGCCATTCGAATGTTCCGTTTATTGGAGAATAATCATAGGTAGAAAAACATTATTGTTGTAGCCTCATGGAGAGATGCATTCAGAAAGACAGGATACAGCGGAATAATTACCAGAGGAAGGCAGGGGGGAGGAGTATACACAAGTACAGTGAGAGAAAGAGCTCAGCTTAGAGGGAAGGAGACAGCTTAAAGACACAGAGCAATAATAAACAAGTGATGGTCACAGAGAAATAAAAATAAATCAAATAGTGCAACACAACAGAGCTAGTTTCACCACATGTTGATAAACCTTTTCATTTGAATATTTTTACAGGCAATCATTTTTTCCTTCTCACACTAGAGATTCAAGTCGGCCACGGTTTCAGGATTAAAGGCACAGTTGAACTTTTTGTGTGCGTTAAAATAAAAGTTGGTTATTTTTTACTGAAACTTGTGCTCGAAAAAACTGTTGCACTTAAAAATACTGGAACTATCACCATTTTATTCTCCAGGAGCTTTGCTTTCGGAAAATATATAGTGTGTGGGGGGGTTTAACTAATCTTTGGGCCTAAATCGATTTTTTTCACGTGTGTGCAAACGCGAAAATGGCTCTGGCAGGGGAAGGGTTAAATACTGGAGCTTTTAAGATGCCTTCCTATGATAAACCAATATGGGCTTATTCTCATACCAGAAATCAGTTCTGGGTGGACTGGCTCTCAAATTCCTGAGCAGTAGCTCATAAAGCTCTGTTTTGGTCTACGGGAAATTTATTTTTATTTACAGGGAAAGTTGTGAAGCTTTCTAGGCTTGCTGGGAACGTTTTCGATCTGTTTTTCCTCCCGCGGTCGGATGTATAAAGTATGTGGTTTCCATGTTGTGTAATAATGGGTTATTTTAACTGACTCATTAAGCAACGTATTAAATGCAGTGCTATATGAAGGTCATCATTCTTCAATTTTCTTCAAGACACAAAAGGCAGGAAAAAAGTTGCGGAACTCAAGTTAGATCTGAAAATTTACAACAGACGCAGAACCAAATAAAAATCACTTGTTCTTTTCTAATTGAACTGTTTATTATTGAAAGGAAAAACACCACACACAAAAAAATCCACACTTTCTAATGTAAGACTCTAAACGTAAGCTATTAAAGTGAATGTGAATCTCAAATATATGGACCCTTTTGGCCTGTTAAATAAACCATGGTTCTGTTTCAGATGCTGCTTTATGCATTGATATACCTCCTTAGACCCAGTCTGTAGGGACAGTATGGTCATCTGCTGACTTGGCACCATCCACAGGCAGTTTAACTCTTCAATGAGACACAGAAGTTGAATCCAATGCAATTTTACTTCAGATAATTGCCGTACAGATGTTTTTCCAGTCTGTTGAAGTGCAGGAAGACAATGACTTTCCTAAGTTCTGTCTTTGTGAAGTACTAAGGCTGACTAGGCTACTAAGGCTAGATTCACAATGATGCAATCTCCTTCTGATTCTTGCAGCCCCCCCACCCAGTGATGCACCATGGTGCATCCACATCATCAGGGAGCCAGCTGAAAGAACCTGGAAGAGACAGGTGGACCCCTGATGACACCAGGGAAGATGATGCACGAGGCAGGGGTGAACCAAGCATCTGCAATGCTGGAATGCCTGAGTTTCAGAACAAAAAATGCACTAAAAGCTGGCAAATTATACAGGTGTAGCGATAATTTTGAATCCATCATCAGATCAGTTTGATGTTAACCTTGAATTATGTGGCAGTGTATTACCACCAAAATGACATTGAAAGCCCTCCAACTGTGTTGGGTAGGTAGTAATTAAAATAATCCAAACAGATCCTTGTCCTGGTATGTTGCCTGGGTGACCAGGAATGGTAGGGTAGAGAGCATGCACATTCCCCACACCCCTACTTTACCATACTGGGCCACATGCCTTTCAACATTGGGGGTACCTTGATTTGCTGCCACCCCTTGCAAAATACCCTTGTCCTAATGTTGAGGGGTAGTGGCCTCTGCTCTACCTTTTTGTGCCCCCAAACAACAGGTGGGGGTAATAGTAAAATTTAGTAAAATGGACAGGGCCTATGAAAGCCATATAAATATATATATATATATATATAGTTCTAATAAGACAACCAGATATCTGCCTTCTCCCAGGAAAATTAGTACCGGGGTACATTAGTATCCCTTAAGCACTCCCACAAGAAGTAAAAAAATATACACACCAAATTAAAAAATTATTTTACAAAATACAAATACACGCAATGAACACAAAGCTAATTATTGTCCCTAGAAGCACAACCAAGACTGTACAGAGCCCACCAG